TAACAATTAAAAAATCTTTCAGGGAAATCTTCTGTCCCAGGTAAGGACACACATGGCCCTAGCCTCTTGTTGTTTTCAGGCTACAGCTCCTAATAGCTCCCGCCATTATGGACATTGGTTAGAACCAAAGGCACTGAAGGGCTGTGGTCCTAAGTGCTTTACACTTTTATTGTGAATTTTTTAAAAATGCTTTTGAGGCCACCTTGAGTTCCACTCTGGAAGAAAGGTGACATACAAATGCAGTAAGAAATAAAGACAATAAAATATATACAACTGTAGTGCAAGAAGAAATGTGGTGTCACACATTCTCCACCCCTGCATTGTTCATTTGCCACATAGGACTTTGTAAATGAAATTTAAGCTCTTTATAGATGGATAAGGGAGAATGGTAGATTATATACAGAGGGACCAGTAGATGGTGCATATAACAAATGAAAAAAGCTAATCTGGCCAGCTCTTTTGACTACAGGTTACCAGAGTTAATGAAGCAGTTATTTTCTGTACTGCTTCTACCATATATTTGTTCCAGTGGCAAAAATCACTTTCAAGGTGGGATTAACCCAGACTTCAGGAACAGACATACTATCCACAACAATGACATTAATACAATAGATTAGGAACAGTGAACATTTATCTAATCAGATGATGCTGATGATGCTGATGGCTTATTTATTACCTGCCTGTCCTTGCAGCTCAAGGCAGCACACAATGTAGTTAAAACAGCGAGGAAGAAAAAAGCACTATTGACATATACATATAACATACATATAACAAATACATACAAGTAAAGAGGTTTTCCCTCCCTGCCAGTTGGGAAGTGAGGGCTATTTGCTGGCCCCCAGTGAAGGAGACCTGTTCAAAAATAGTCCTCTACCATAAGGGGAGTTGGGCTAACACATTTAATGCATGTAGCTCCTGCAACCCCCACATTGGTTCTGAGTGCTGGGACCTGCAACACTCAGTGGCAGTGCCAGTGAGACATCGGAGAAGGCCCAGGTGCAGAAAGAGCGTAATTCCCTGAGATGCGAGGAGGGTCACATGCAACCCCAAGGGTAACAAACCAGTAGGGATGCAAGACTATGAGTCGGGGCCATAGGTGGTGCCCTCTGGTTGGCCAGTTCCCCCTCTCTGCCAGGTAGAAGTTCGGCTTCTGTAAAGATCCTGCAGCTCCAAGGACTGAATATATTCCTAACTTTTGTGAGCTAATGGGCTGAACATTGTAAATTATTTTAAATAGCTTAAAAGACATTAACAGGAAAGTGGACCTTTTATACCAGGGGTCCACAAACTTTTTAAACAGAGGGCCGGGTCACAGTTCCTCAAACTGTTGGAGAGCCAGATTATAATTTGAAAAAAAACATGAATGAATTCCTATGCATACCACATATCTTATTTGTAGTGCAAAAACACTTAAAAACTATACAATAATTCAAATGAAGAACAATTTTAACAACTATAAATTTATTAGTATCTCAATGGGAAGTGTGGGCCTGCTTTTGGCTCATGAGATAGGATTGTTGTCGTTGTTGTGTGCTTTCAAGTCATTTCAGACTTAGGTTGACCCTGAGCGAGGGCCGGGTAAATGACCTTGGAGGGCCGCATCCGGCCCCCGGGCCTTAGTTTGAGGACCCCTGTTTTATACAATATGATAAACCTTGTATTTAAAGATAGTTTAGTACACGGGACCATTAGGGAAGGAGAGAGGGGAGTGACTTAAGGCAATGATCATTTGACCAACAATTCTTCTAGCCCTTATGGGGAGTTCTCAATCAATGCCCCAAACAAAATACCCCACTTAGCAGAGAACTCTGCAACCCAACAGACTACTTCTGGAGGTATCCAAATTTATAACAACAGAGAAAAATGGGGCTCTCGAAAAGAGGTTAGAATTTTCCTGAGCCAGCTCCTTTATAGCCACCCAAGGGAGATTAATATATCATCTACAGAATGGTTGAACAGAGACATCAGCAGCACACGGATGCTAGTAACATTCAGGGACTCACTCATGCTGCAGAGACTTCTTATTATTAGATCTCATCTGCTGAGATGGAGAGTCTTTAAAGACCTAGCAATATGCACCCTATGGCAGGGTTAAGTGGGAACACCCTGAGAAACACCTAACGCTCTATGTGGGGCTGCCCTTGAAGACTGCCCGGAAGCTTCAGATGGTCCAGCGCTCGGCAGCCAGGTTGCTAACAGGAGCGGCACTCAGGGAGCATACCACTCCTCTGTTGAGCCAGCTCCACTGGCTGCCAATCTGCTACCGGGCACAATTCAAGGTGCTGGCGTTAGCCTACAAAGCCCTAAACGGTTCCGGCCCCACTTACCTCTCCGAACGCATCTCCACCTATGAACCGACGCGGACATTAAGATCGTCCGGGGAGGCCCTGCTCTCGGTCCCGCCTGTGTCACAGGCACGGTTGGCGGGGACGAGGGACAGGGCCTTCTCGGTGGTGGCCCCTCGGCTATGGAATGCCCTACCTATAGACATCAGACAGGCTCCTTCGCTGCTGGCGTTTCGGAAGAAGGTTAAGACTTGGCTCTACGAGCAAGCGTTTGGCTAAACAGTGCAACTGAACACAGGAAGACGGTAAAATTGAACATAGGAATGGCACAAGGATTATGAGAATGGATTTTGCTCTGTTATCGAGGCGTCATGAATTGATAATTGTGGATTTTGTTGTTGTGTATGATGTGTTTTTAACTGTTTATTGTTGTGATAACCTGCATTGTGTAAACCGCATTGCGTCGCGTAATTAGGCTGAAAAACGCGGTATAGAAATAAAGCAAATAAATAACCCCTGCCATAGTAACAAACCACCCCTTGGAAGTAACAAGGTCATCTTTTTATGGTCCAACAAAAGTTACGAGGGTAGACATTGAGAACACAGCCCAGAGAGTGAGCCCTATTAGGAATGCGACAAGTGGGGCAACAACAAAGAGCCCATCTTGCCTGGATCTTGACAGTAGGGAAAGTGTCAGCATAACATTCAGAGGAATTGTGCTGGCTTTGGCTCCAAGCTCCAAGAAGTCTTACATAAGAGCTATACAGGAGTTCACTTAATACAGGTTAAGTGATATTTTGCCAGTCTCAGTTGAGCATGTATTATAATTCTGCATCTTTCTTAGAAGGAAAGGGTTGGCGCCTCAGTCCATTCAGGCCAAGGAGTCAGTACTTGTCTTCTGTTTAAGGCACAAGGTAATGCTGATTGTACAATGGAATTTCAAGTACTTAAGTTGCTCAAAGGGTGCAGTTCAGTGCCATCTAAAGAGGCATATGCCCCTCTTTGTGCACTACAGGAACCTGATGAGTCAATGAGCATTTAAGCTTGGTGCTGGGCTGAGATTTGGTGCTGTAGCAGTCAGTATGATCCACGTTATCCTGAGTTACATCAAACCATTTTCTTACATTGAATCATCACATCATATATAACAGACATTTTCTTTGAATATCTCTCCCTCTTTCTCACTTATACACAAACACTCAAAGTAACTCCCAGAAAACACAAGCAAAACAATAAATACATCAGCAGTATTTCCACTTCCATTACAATTATGGAAGTTCATGAAGTTTCATAATAAATGTATTTAGTCATACTTAGATGTAAACCAGTGAAATCAGTGGTAATCCATCATCATCATTACCATTTATTTATGTAGCATCATCAAATGTACATGGTACCTTATAATAAAACAAGTAAAAACAATAGGTTGTGCCAGAGGTGTACAATCTAAAATAAGTGTGTGTGCACATATACACACAAAAGGAAGGGAAAATATCATCACAAAACAGTACAATATAATTGCAATGTAAATCATCCATTCAAAATGCAAATTAAAAAGCACATTATAATACAAAGCAAACTGACAATACATGTAATTAAAATATGCAAGACTACAAAATATCAAACTAAAATCCTTAAAGCTTTTAAAATTGAGATTTAGAAACAGCAAGGGAAGGAGCTGTCCGCAAATGTTCAGGGCAGCAGTTCCAGAAGTATGGGACACCAAATGAGAAAGAATGAAGTTGAGGCAAGGAAAAGGAAATTCTTCATTGAAGGAGGAGCCTATAATTGCAAGAGTGCTGATTTCAGATAGGTCCATTAAAAGAAAATAAGAAGCTTTTCTGATAGGGCCCTTCCACACAGCCCTATATCCCAGAATATCAAGGCAGAAAATCCCACAATATTTGCTTTGAACTGGGTTATCTGAGTCCACACTCAGACAATGTGGGGTTTGCTGCCTTGATATTCTGGGACAAAAGGCTGTGTGGAAGGGCCCATAGAGGAAACTCGATTGTAGAGTGTGGAACATCAACACAAGAAGCTTATACTAGTTCTTAGAGGGAATCAATAGTCAATTGAGAGATATCAAAAGTGGGGTAATGTGGCCAAACAACAGAGGGGAAAGGTAAGCTTAGCAGCAAAATGTTGAATTGAAAGCAGAGAACTAAGGTGAGATAACAGAAGACCAGTCAAAAGAATATTGCAATAATTGAGACAGGAAATGACTAAGACATGAAGTAAGGTTGTAGCATGACTCAATACTATGGAATTATGGGAGCTTTACATGGTATTTAAATTTATCTGCCTACAAGTGCTGATACCTCACCAAACTACAAATTCCAGGATTTCATAGCATGGAGCCATAGTAGTTAAGGTGGGCCCATTAAAAGAAAATAAGAAGAAAATAACTGCCTTAATTCTATAGTATAGATACAGCCTTGATTATCTCTATATGTCATCAATCGCTTCTCTGATGACACAGATATGGTATAAATAATAGTGTTTTATAGTTTTTAAAAATAACAGGTTCCTGTCTCACTCTGAATTTGAACATGTCCTTTGCTGTCTTAAATTAGTTTTTCTCTCTTGTTATTCTGTTCCCTGTCTTCTCTCCCCTCCTATTCCTCCCTCTTTTTTTGTGACCTCATCTCAGATTCTATTTGATAAGATTGGTTTGACACCTGTATACTGTGGGGGCATTCATATAGTAGGTTACTCTGCGTAAGTCTTTTGCATTATGACTTTGTACAACACCATAATCCATGAAAGCTGATCCCAAGACCTTAGCATCTGATGTTGTACATCTACACCACAAGATAATCCCATTGTAAACAGTGCCTCACTCTTGCAGAGGAAACAGGATTAACATTTCATGTTTTCAAGGTAAGCCTATTTCATTTTGTCTGGCAAAGAGAAGGCTTATGGATATGTGGGGTCACCTCCTTATGAATTCCAACTGCTAAAAATCCCAGGGAGGATTTGATTGCTCTAATAAGAGAAGCTGCCATATAGGATAGTGGGCAATTTGATATCAGAAATTGGAATAGGTTTTTATCAGCCAAAAAATAGATGCCTGCCATTAAGTCATTTCTTCATCTAGTAAAGCTATTTTGGCATTTTAAAATGAGAACTATGCTCCACTACCATAGTTGGGATTTATAAACTGCTCTAGTTTCGAAATGTATGCTTTCTCAAAATATATCCACTGCAGAAGCATTACCTTATAGGGAAAAAACGAGTGAAGGCTGTTTAGGTCATCCCACTGGTTTTGGTGAAAAAGTTAAGTGCATGCTTTAATATCTGTCATAAAAATTAATGAGGTTTTTAAAACCACAAAGATGAATGGTCAGCACTGGAGAGAAAATGACACCTCCCTTTCTTAATGTTATGACTCCAATATGCTTAAACCGTTGACTTTGCTGGTAGAAACGCTGAACTGGATCCAGACCAATTCGGAAGTCAATTGAATACGTTCACCATTATTTAAGTTGTACTGATTTCAATGGACTGTATCCAGCAGCAGCCATCTGCTTGTGCATGAGCAGAATTCAGCATAATTGGAGATTCCTTCCCATTGTGCACACATACACACATGAATCAACCAAAGTATCAGTGGGCTGGACAACCTTCTGGGGCATGTTTTTTGAGACTCAAGATTGCTGTAACAGAGGGGAACTGAAAATCCCAGTGTTGTCAGGATCATCATTGGATTGAGGCCTTGGAAATATAATTAACTTGTTTTTCTGGATACAGCCCATTCTTCATCATTATCATCATCATTTTTATTTATTACCCGCCTCTCCTTTCAGCTCAAAACAGGACACAACATGGTTAAATACATCTATAAATCACATATTAAAACATAGTTAAAATTCAACTTGGATCTGGATTACAGAAAATCCAAAAAATGTAGGCAAAATCCACAAACCACTCCTCTTGAATTCCTGCACATGTCTAAATAATAATATAATTACAAGATACATATTTTCATATTTCCATTCATCACAGAGTTTTAAAGATGTAGGTACATCAATTATCTATTGATGATAATTGAGGTATAAAATGTGGAATTTGTTGTTAAATTGAGATAAATCACATTCCTTATCTCAGCTGCTTCGACCTTCCAATTCTACTTGAAAGGCACAAAGTGGTAAACAAACCAGACTCCTTAATTCAGCTTTCACTGAAAGTGGCACTTTATCTTTTATTTACAAAATATACAAGACAATCTCTGATCATGTCCATTCACATCTTTTCAAGCTACATGGAGAATGTTACACAGCTCAGAGCTCCTTTTCTGTTCTGCACAGGAAACTCCAAAAGTGACACTCTACCAATGTTACACATCTCTATTGTTTTAACTCATGCATTTCTGAAATCATACAGTTTAAACTATAGCCAGATAACATTACATACTGACAGAATTTCCCCATATTTGTAGAATGCCAGTAACCAAAGGCATTAAAACTCAAAAATCCCTTGGGGAAGGAGTGGCAAAGACTTTTCTTATGCCCTGTTAGGCTTACACCAACAGAGCAAAAAATAGGTGGCCACCTTGTTTTCTTTTCTTGATATTTCAGGAACATTTTCCTCCCACCAATTTTAACATAAAGGAAAAACACTCTTCTCATACTGTACCTGTATAATACCAATATAACAGTTTTACTTGTTTTAAAGTGCTGTGGTTCCATCCATGGAACCCTATCATTGTGATTTCTTAATTTTTTATAATTATCTGCCAGAGGGTCCTGGGGAGTACTTTAGCAAATTCTAAGTAGCCCCCCCCCCCCCACCTCAAACTATTACAAGATTCCATAGTGCAGAGACATGGCAGTTGAAACAGTATCAACATACTATAATTGTGTGGTGTGCATGCATTCCAGTTCCAAAGTTAGTAGTATAGTTTCCCATGTAGGACCCCCTACCCCTGGAAAAGGATCTTGCAAAACATTTGATACCTCCTACTCTTCTCTTTGGACTTAAGTGTCCTTCATTTTATTTTATTTCATATAAATCATTAATCTTGGTGCAGAGAACCTATGTTGAGCAGAAGTGAAGACATGGTGAAAACAGTATTTTTTCCATTAAAGTAAATGTTTAGATGATGGTTGATTCTAATGGATCTGGATTGCATCCTATAGCAAAAGGTATCAACAAAGGAAGCACTATAGCACCTGCTTTTTTATTGTTTTGTATTCCTAAAAGAACATCAGCACAGCAAATCAAAGAAGATGGGGAAATCATGATGGAATAATGAAAGGGAAGCATATAAATGAGCTAATGGCATGAAAGGAGTAGCAATATTTTTTCTTGGCATTTTCTTCTTAAGCCCAAATTTTCTTCCAACACTGAAATAGAAATTGGCCGTTCATTACTGCCAATCACATTCTTGCCTGGCCATTAATCTTGGGTTTCATTAGGTATATGGAATATTGAAATCATCGGGAACAATTCTCTAACCTTACCCTTTCTTATTAGACGACATCATATGCAAGGCATGTTGGGTGTCTGCCTGTGTCCCAGCAAAGAAAGCATAATCAGCAGAATATTTTTCAACATCTATTCTCTGCAAAGATTTACTGAGCAGTCACTAATGTACACTGACAGCTCTTGCATTAAGATTATAGAAAGGTACAGATCAATATGTCAGATTGCAAAAAAATTCTTTGATTCAAAGATAATAAATTAGACCAACTATGCCCCAGTGCTATAACTCATTTGTTCAGTGTGAAAGTCAGTTGAGTCATACAAGCAATGATGACATAGCACTAACAATTTAGAATACAGAATCTAAACTTACATATTGCCTAAAATCATGAGGATTGCAAATACACCTCATCATGATTTATTTCATATATTTATATCCCGCCCTTCTCCCCACAAGGGGGACTCAGCGTGGCCTCACATGAGCATCAGAGGATGCTAACAGCATAAATACCATCAAAATTACAATTCACAATAAAATCATTTTAAAACATTGTACATCATCATCACTGAAATTTAACAATAAATTAATAGATTAACGTGCCACTAAAATCAAACCAAGCTGGGAGAATCCATATCGCAAAATCCAAATTTCCTTTTCCTATTGCTGCTGGCCTCTAATCTAAAGGACAGGAGGGAGGTGGCCAACCTGATATCCTTAGAGAGAGAGTTCCACAGACGGGGGGCCACTGCCAAGAAGGCCCTGTCTCTCATCCCCACCAACCGCATTTGCAAGAGTGGAGCTCTTTGGCTCATAACAAGAAAATGTAAATATAATATTTTAACCCTGGTTGGGGGGGGGGGGGATTTAACCCTGCAATGCTAATCATTTATATATTTATTTATTTACCTTATGGTAATTCTATTGCTAACTCAACACACTTGAATTCCAATGGGGTCCAAAAATTGCAATGCCTCTGTTATGGAATATTTTCAGACCCCATTGGAATTCAAATGTGCTGAGAGTTAAAAATAGAATTACCATGAAATGTGGTTAGCATTGCAGTTAGGCTCAATAGAGTTTAATCTATATTTCTGGTATTTCAGGATTCCACTGGAAATTCCAACATTCTCCCCACAATCAGGGTTCTGCTTCTTGGTATCACATTTGTCCGCAAAATAGCAAAGGTAATTTTTATCCCATTGGTTGGTGCAAAAATGGTAAAAAGCCATAAATTTAACATGATATATATTTTCCTCCAGTCAAGTTTAAAAGTTCAACAACAACAACTCAAATGCCTTGCCCTGGTGCATTAGAACATTGAAAAAACTCTACAGAAATTTTTATGCATTTTGTACATATTTCCTTTGTGCACACATATACATATTTGCACACTGTACTCAGTTTTGGGGAAAGATATTTTCTGAATACAATGTTGTTACATTTATTTTTTAAAAAGATATATGCAATTCTACATACATTTTACTGACATAAGCACCAGTTAAACTGAACCATATACTTCCAAAGGTGTTACAACAGGAGATTTCCAGTATCTACATGAATAACACACTTTGCCCTGCCCAAATTCAATGCCTCACATATATATAAAAATATCACATATCTAAATCAATAACATATAACTGCAGATAAAAACCGTTAAAACTATAAAAACATCAAACATAGACATAAGCATGAAACATATTATTGCTGCAATTAACAATGTAGATCCTGTCTCTTCCTCCCCACCCCCACTCCCCAACTCTCTCTCCATCGCATTTCAGCCCTTCTTTTTATACCCTCCCTGCTCCCCCCACATCCCAACATTGAATACTACATATGTACCATTTGAGGAAAATTAGAAAAAAAGGGGGTAACTTTTCCCATTTTTCTTTTTAAAATGTTCTACATTTATCTTTGAATAGCTCCTGTTGCCAATGGCATGAAGTCACCTGAACAAAACTGAACCCTCTTTATATGTATTGCTTATTATGTTTGCAACCTTCATTTTGCATTCATGGATAAAGCCAAACAGTTGCTAAGTTTTGAGCGGCTTAGTTAAAACTCCTTAATTGCCTAGTCCTGTGAATTCTAAAGGATACACTAGTGGTCATCTACAAAAGGCTTACTTTTATTTCCATTGAGCTGGTGCACTACATGATAGTGTGGAACAGCAAAAAAAAAGATGCAAAGATATTTACTCAGTTTGAAGCAGTAAAGCAATAAAGGCCACTACAACTGAACAAAACAAAACAAAGTAAGTGTCAGAAGATAAATGAAAACTATCTCAGCTGGTATTCTGTATACAAGATTACCCATCCCAAAATTGCACTAAATTGGCACTAATTTGGAAATCTCAGCTTTGAAATGCTCATAGCCCTAGAGTCTAAAGATTAGATGTTTAGAAGGGGATAGTCACACTAGGGTTGAACAAAATATATTTACAACTCAGCAGGATAAATCTTTTATATTATTCTCACTGTCTTTTGCTTGTTATCAAATGACTAATGTCAAATGGAAAGACACATGAGAAAAAATGATTATATTTTAACACCTTCATGTTTAAATGATCATCTGTAAAATAGAAAATCTGTGTTAATGAAAATAAGAGTGTTGACATTTTGTTCTATTTTATACATTATTTAATAAGAAAGGCTTTTGGGGGGGGGGCAAAGGAATAAAATTATATAAGCATCAGGATTTCCTAAGTGTTTTCCTTATAAGCATCAGAGTTCATAAACACTAAAAGTAATGCCATGTTAGAACCATTTAAAATCTGCTTTCTACTTCTTTGGGTTCCAGACACAGAACTAGCTGTCATGTTGCATTCATGAGAAATGGGGTATTCCTATCTCTGGTAAAAGAAATTAATTCTGAATTCCAGACAAGACAGAGGTACTCCTGGTCAGTCGCAAGGCCGAACAGGGCATAGGGTTACAGCCCGTGTTAGACGGGGTTACACTCCCCCCGAAGACGCAGGTTCGCAGCTTGGGTGTGATCCTGGGTTCATTTTTGAGCCTGGATCCCCAGGTTTCAGGGGTGACCAGGGGAGCATTTGCACAGCTTCGGCTCGTGCGCCAGCTGCGCCCGTATCTTGGGAAGTCTGACTTGCCACAGTGGTACACGCTCTGGTCACATCCCGCCTTGACTACTGCAACGCTCTCTACGTGGGGCTGCCCTTGAAGACGGCCCGGAAGCTTCAGCTAGTCCAGCGCGCGGCAGCCATGTTACTAACAGGAGCGGGACGCAGGGAGCACACAACGCCCTTGTTGTTCCAGCTCCACTGGCTGCCGATCTGCTACCGGGCCCAATTCAAGGTGCTGGTGCTGGCCTACAAAGCCCTAAACGGTTCCGGCCCAAAATACCTCTCTGACCGCATCTCGGCCTATGAGCCCACGAGGACCTTGAGATCGTCTGGGGAGGCCCTTCTCTCGATCCCGCCTGCCTCACAGGCACGTCTGGCGGGGACGAGAGATAGGGCCTTCTCGGTGGTGGCCCCCCGGCTGTGGAGCACCCTCCCTGTAGACATCAGACAGGCGCCCTCCCTTATGTCATTCCGCAAGAGCCTAATTCCGCAAGAGCTTAAAGACATGGCTATTCGAGCAGGCGTTCAATTAAGTATTACAACAATTGACAATGACGACTGGAACGGAATATGGAATACGAGATTGGTTTATGATTCTATGCTGAGACGACGCGGATGCTTTAGAGTAATTATTGTTATATTATTGATGTTATGTGTATATTGTGTTGTATGAGGGTTATATTGTAAACTGTTTTTATATGTTGTACACCGCCGTGAGTCGCCCGGAAGGGCTGAGAACGGCGGTCAACAAATGCAATAAATAAATAAATAAATAAATATACTTTCTGTCTTGCAAAACAGAACTCAAACTCTCTCTCTCTCTCTCTTTCTCTCGTATCTAAAATAGTGATGCCTAAGGAATACAGAACAAGGCCATGGTTGTTTTTGTCAACTGCCATCAAGTTATCTTCAGCTTCTGTTGATGCTGTGATTGAGAGCCCTTCAAGTTATCCTGTTCTCAACAACCCTGCTCAGGTCTTACAGCTTCCTTGATTGGATCTATCCATCTTTTACTACTGCCTTCTAACATACCAAACACTTTTCTTGTGTGTCATGTCTTCCCATGATATCTGAAAATTCAGCATGTACACAAACACATACACTCATAAAAATACACAAATATCCAACCACAGACTTACATACATAATTCAGGAATTACAAGTATGCAATTCCCACCCACAAACTTAAAGAACCAGTAGCTATTTTAACTCCAACCACCACAGCATCTTTGATTTGTCTGCCATTGAAACTGAGATACCATTTCTTTCAAGCACTTAGGATGTAATGAAGAATTTCTGGATGCACAGTCTTAAGACCTTGATATATTGTAGCCTCAACCTGCATAACACCATTATTCACTTAAGAATGGTGGCATTAAAACCTTATAAAAAGTAACCTTGAAATCAGCTTCTTTTTGCTTTCAGCAACGGAAGAATGCAGGAGCTTAAATGTTTTGCTTATATATATATATATGTATGTATGTGTATATATATATATATATATATATATATATATATATATATATATATATAATAAAAAATAAAAAATAAGGATAAGGTACAGTGTGTGGAAAAATGGCTATAGGATCATGAATTGGCCAATTGGTGCAATTGTGCTAGTGCTAATACTGAAGGTACTCAATCCCGCATGTATCTGGAATCAATGATAATGTAATTGTAGTGCAATAGTGAGCTCATGCAACAAAGTCCATAATTGTGACAATAAAAAGAATATTAACACATAGTAAAAAGACAGAAAATGTAATACGTCCCATTCATCATCAAGAACATCAAGTGTCAGGATCACAGTGCCTACGAGTGTAGACAAGCCCTCAGCCTCAGAGGAAGGTAAAGGCAGCCCCACAGTGAATAAATCTTGTCAACAAAACCCCATAAGAGATGTTTCTTAGGGACACCATTAGTTAGAAAAAACTTAAAGGACCACAACAATAAGAAAAAAATGCCCTTGGAATATATGAATGAATGAATTCATACATGTCCTGAGTACACATGCCTATCGGGGATCTTATAACTTTGGCAAATAGTGTGTCAGGCAAATTGGACTCAAATCCACACATTCACATGAGACTCTCTAAAAAAGGATTGTTATTGAAAATAAAGAAATCATGATCTACATAATACTTACATGGAATACCGCAAATATTGTGATAGAGCTTTACAAATGGCAAATGGGCATGCGGAATAGCAAGCTTGCAAGGCTGTGAGAGTTTGGAATTAAAAGCAGTCAGTAGCTGTAGAGGTTGCTAAAGGGAGAGATGAGAAAAGAGGTTCAAAAGCAAGAACAACACAACATTTTCTCTATCAAACACTCATACACCAGAGAAAGAGGCAGCAGTTTGGGGGAGTTACAAAGTGCAAGAAGTTTTCAGGTTTCAGCGGTGGCCAGGGGAGCTTTTGTACAGTTAAAACTTGTGTACCAGCTGCACCCATATCTTGAGAGGTCAGAGTTGGCCACGGAGGTCCACGCTCTGATTAAATCTTTTATAGACTACTGCAACACACCCTATGTGTGGTTGCCTCTGAAGACTGTTTGGAAGTTCCAACTAGTCCAATGCTCAGCAATCAGGCTGCTCACAGGGGTGAGGTACAAGGAGCGCACAATCCCCGTTACGCCAGCTCCACTGGTTGCCTATTAGCTTCCAAGCACAATTCAAAGTGCTTGCCTTGACCTACAGGGTGCAGCAGCATAACTTCCTTTTTTCAAAACTTAATAAAACCCATTGTATGAATCAGATTTTTTTTATAATGTAGCCACATACCTAAAGTTTCATTTTAAGTAGTTTTGAAGATCAAATTGGGTAGGTGACGTTCCCCCATTCTCCATACACTGAGTAAACCGATTTCTGGCGTTTGTCATGACTCTTGCCAGCATAGCAGGTATTATGTTGGCAATTTCTTCCTGGATGTTGGTCTTCAAATGTTGTAGGGTCCTTGGATGGTTCACATAAACACGGGATTTCAAAAAAATCCATAGAAAAAAATCACAAGGGGCCAAATCTGAAGAGCGGGCTGGCCACTCCGAATCCCCCCTAATTGAGATGAGGCGCTCTGGGAAGTGCTCCCTCAAAACAGCCATCGATGCTCTTGAAGTGTATGCAGTTGCACCATCTTGTTGGAACCAAATGTCCCCTAAGTCCAACCCATCTAGCCATGGGGAAAAAAATTCCTGTAACATGTTTACATACTGGTCTGAATTCACTGTCACTGCAACTTCATTTTCCTCAAAGAACCAGGGACCAATAATTCCAGCTGAGGAAATTGCACACCACACTGTGATTTTAGGTGAATGCAAGGGCCTTTGATGCAATTCTCGAGGATTGTTGTCAGCCCAGTAGTGCATGTTTTGTTTGTTGACAGATCCACACAAATGAAAATGGGCTTCATCACTAAAAAAAAAAACAACCAATAGGGTCCTCAGGAATGACTTTGAGAAGAACCTCACACGCGTTCCTCCGAGAATTGAAGTGACGTTCAGAAAGTTCCTGCACAATCGCCATCTTGTAAGGATGGAAATGAAGATCATAATGAAGAATTCTCCTCACAGAACGATTGGAAAGTCCAAGGGCAGACACATGTTTGCGCGCAGAGCATCGTGGTGATCGCAACATAGAAGCTCTCACTGCCTCAATGTTCTCAGGTGATCTAATGGGCCGAGGGATTCCAGTTCTTCATCTTGTCGCACTTGCAGTTTGTCTGAATGTAGTAATCCACATCACAATTGATTTCCGGTCCGGGACAGGGGCTAATGGGGCTAAATTAAAGCGATACCGAAAGGCGCGCTGGATTGCGATCACAGAAAATCCACTCGAAAAGTAGGGCTCAACAGCAAAAGCACACTCCTCACTGTTCCAACACATGATGGCAACCGAACTGTGTCAGGACAAAACTTTATACTCCCACCTCTCGAACGAGACCACTAGCACTCCACTAGGTCTTCAACCGACTGAATGGAGCACATTTTTAAAAAAGGAAGTTATACTGCCACACCCTGTATAAAACCCTAAACGGCTCTGGCCCAGCTTACCTGTCCAAATGTATCTCCCTCTACGAACAGCCAAGGGCCTTTAGATTGTCTGGAGAGACCCTGCTCTTGGTCCCGCCACCATCACAATCATGTTTGGTGGGAATGAGAGACAGGGCCTTCTCAGTGGTTGCCCCTCAGCTGTGGAACGCCCTTCCTACTGAGATTAGATCTATCCCCTCCCTCATGACCTTCCAGAAAAAGCTCAAATCCTGGTTATGGGATCAAGCGTTCATAGCATATATAGTTTTAACAAACTGTTTTTAGTTGATGGCAACGGATTGAAGATGGTTTTAATGGACTATTTGAACTGGTGGCTATGGATTGATTTGAAAGATGACATGAAATGCCATTTGGCCCCTTCTCTAATAATATTCCACAGGAAATTAAAGACTTGGTTGTTTAAGAAGGCGTTCGAACAAGAAGTGCAATGATTAGTAATGTCTATAGGAACGGAATAACGGAAACAATATTGGATTGTGATTTGGACGATGAGACGACGTGGAATGGTTTTTGTAGTAGTGATGTTGTTGTTTTGTATAATGTTGTGAATTGTTTTTATATTGTGCCTTGTATTTTGCTTTTCCTGTGTTGTACACCGCTGTGAGTCGCCCTCGGGCTGAGAACAGCGGTATATAAATAAAGTAAATAAATAAATAAATAAATAAATTTTCTTTTAATGTATTTATAACTGTTTTTAATGAAGGTTAAATGTATTTTATGTTGTATATTGTTTAGGAGGTGAGAAGGACAGGATAGAAATGCTCTTAATAAATAATAAATAAAGAAACACTCCCTGAAAGACAGATTCATGAGATTGAGATATTACTTCTTGTTGGTCCTATTGGACTTCTGAGAAGCTAGAGAAGCTTCCTGGTTGGAATAGTACATGAAAAGGTCCTTCTGGATTTATCTGACTTTGGGATTCATTTTAAAGCATTTCAGATCCAAGCAATTTTAGAATTCCTCTAAAACAAATGAGCTTCTTCAAATGAAGGGTGTTCATCTGGACTTCCTAAGACACATTACCCAATAACTCATTCCCCAAAGGTAGTATGGTGTAAACAAGAAGCAATTTAAGAAAGACATTATAAACAGTTTAAGTCAATCAACCTTGCCCCAAAGGTTTCACTTTTCCTTGTCAGTAATCCATTGTTTACCCACTGAAGATCCACATGCTAGGAGAGATAGGACTTTTGAGAAAGTATTTGGTATTTCAATAGTTTAACCAGGAAGCACGCAAATTTGATTATGAAGTTCACAGAATGACTGGCTGCAAAATTTGACCAGGAGATGCCTTTTCAGCTAACCCTTCTGTGTCCTTTGACAGATAATCAATTATGCTTTCATTTTAGGACATATAGATGTATATCCTGACAAGGTTGTTAGGCAACTATAGGCATACCAATTACACTACATAAATGTCAAGTAATACATTTTAATATATGTGCTGTCAAAGTACTACATCAAAGATGCTAGAAATAAAATAAATATTTATTTAAGTACCTAAACTGTTTAGGTTGCTCTATTCCACTGTGTAAATGTTCATTCCAAATAATATGTTAATATTTAACTTGTCTCATAGGGACTGGAACTAAGCCAATTGGTTACATATACTGAAATGGTTACTGACCCTATATTGCCCTGAATCAGAACCACATCAGAACAGCATGAGGTGCAACTGAAACTGAGTCGGAACTGAACCAAAACATTTAAAGGTTTGACTCTCTGGTATGTGGACAGGCTCATGAAGGGTAACATTTCTCCTCCAGATATTTGTTCGATATGAGCTGTATATAGAAACACCCAAGCCAGTCAAGCTCTCAAAAGACACAGCTCACCATAATGAGGCCTTCTGGGTCCTACAAACAATTGAAATGATGTGGAAGAATTTTTAAAAACCAAATAGCCAGACTTCCATGCAAAATCTCTTCCACAAATCTTTTCGATCTCTGCAAAGTTCAGCTAAGGTTGATTTAATATTCTCTTTTCTGGCAAATTCTACTTAGAAATCTAAAAGTACTGCTAAGAACTGCAAGAACAAAGGTGTATCGACACTTGAGAAATATTTTTTGAAAGAAAGTTCTTTCTTTTGTAGATTCTTCATTCTCAAGTTCATTTACCTGAAGATTGTTGTGGACAAAAAATATCAATATATCTGGATCGTGAGTGACAAAGGACTAGAGATGTAGTCAGGCACTTTCCCCTCCCTTCATGCAATTATTATAGTGTGGAGAGACTACAGAATGATATACACAAACCGCATTATGTCCCCTTTCATCCTAAATGCCCCTGGTGGCGCAGTGGATTAAATTGCTGAGCTGCTGAACTTGCTGATTGAAAGGTTGGTGGTT